CCTGTTTACCTAACCTGATCTGACCTGAAAATTCAGGTTAAGTCAGTAGATTTTTAGGTTAATATTAAGTTAGGTTAATAGGTCAAACTGACCTGACTCAACTTAACAAAATTCAGATTAACCAATCATTATTCTTGAATGATATTTTATCGTTTAATTAGAATGATTTATTATCATTCTTGAATGATAGTTTTATAATTTAAGAATGATATTTTATCATCTGAGAATGATATTTTTATTGTCTAAAAATGATAGTTTTATCATTCAATTAAAATAATTTATTATTATCTGAGAATGATGATTTTATCATTCAATTAGAATGATTCATTATCATTTAAGAATGATAATTTTATCATTTTTGAATGATAGTTTTATTGTTCTTGAATGATATTTTATCATTCAATTAGAATAATTCATTATCATTCAAGAATGATAGTTTTATCATTGAAAGTACTATTAGTAATGCAGAAATTTTACAATTTAAGTGGAATAAAATAGCTTTTAAACAAACTCAAGAATTATTTAATATAGATAATAATAAAATTAATAGTGAAATAGATTGGAATAATATTGAAAACATTTTAGATACTGAATCAATTATAATAAAATCAATAGATAAAGAAAGTAATTATCAGATTGAAAGTAGTTCTAATATTAATGATATAATAATATCATGTATTATTTTAGATATAATTGATAGTTTAATATAATGCTGTTCTAAAAAAGCATTAAATTAACATCCTTTAATTCAGCTAATAGGTACGTGGGAAATTAATGAAAAGATTTTTATAAATATGAAGGTAGAAAATAAATTACATACATTAGAAGTATATGCATCTCATTTTTATTTCGATCAAAATATACTTCACATACCAAAAATAAAAAAGGAGTGATCTATTAAACAAAGCTAGATATATCATCATTATTGTCTATTTTAGCTGCAGAAATAACTGTATATAGCATTTAGTATGTATAATTAGTAAAAATATATAAGTACCTTGTGTTGGATGTAAAATTTATCCTATTTTTAAAGAAATTAATACACAAAATAATATTATTAGTAAATCAAATAATGAATTTCATTCTTGTTATATTTGTTCAAGATGTTTTAATATAGAAGGTAGACATTTTTTTGAAAGGCAAGACAGTGGAAAAATGCTATTTTCATGTGAAAATAAGTATAAAGTTGATATAACTAAAGCACTTGAACTATTAGGACAATGGATTTTAAATGTAGCAGTATCAGATGAAATCAAGCCAAAAGAAGAATTATTAATAAAATTAAGTCCAATATTAATATTGTTTAATCAATCAATATCTAATCAATCAATATTGCAAGTACAAAATAATTTATAATATCCTTTAAGTTTATTTCTTATAAAAATTGCTTTACGAGTTAGAAAAGTTGATTATATAAAATTAGTTAATAAAAGTTATAATTTTATATTAAAAACTTCAAAAATAACTAGGGAAACATTCGGTAATATAATATTAAAATCACAAAATGAAATATATGAAATACAACATATTATTGAAAATCAAAATTTATTAAATCATTATCGAAATAGTTTTCATATTTTTTATTAAATTTTTTTGATGCACTTATAATTATATTAGAAAAAAAGAAACATGATATAATAAATAAAAAAAAACAAAGAAATCAAGATGAAAAGATTTTTGATATAAGTTTTGTAGAAAAAAAATCAATATTTCTTATTTCTATTATAACAACAATTGTATTTCCCAGTCTTAATATTTGGCTTACACATATTATGAGTTCTCTTTATAAAAAACCTAAATTAATAGCATCATTATATGCTATTCTTCATAAAGCAAATATAATATCACATACACAATATCATGAAAAACGATTAGAAAAAGATAGAATGAATAAAGTAAATCCAAAAATAGATTACTTCAAGGAGAAAATATTTGGAACATTTCAGTTGATAATATTGATTTTAAAGAATAAACATTTAAATATGGTAATATTTTTGACACAACATGTAATTAGAGTTCTGAACAGGTCAATTCAGGTTAGGTTAATCAATTTACCTGAACTGAGAGGATTAGGTCAGGTCAAACAAAAATCTAACCTGATTTAAATTTTCATTTGATCTGACCTGATTTGACCTGACCTAATCGAATTATAAAACATTATTTTTGAATGATAAAACCATTATTCTTAAACGATAAATCATCATTCTTGAATAATAAATCATTATTTTTGAATGATAAAATCATCGTTTAAGAATGATAATAAATTGTTCTAATTGAATAATAAAACTATCATTCTTGAACGATAAATCATTATTCTTAAATGATAATGAATCATTCTAATTAAATGATAAAATATCATTCACAAATGATAAAACTATCATTCAAGAATAATAATTCTATCATTCTTGAATGATAAAATCATTATTTTTGAACAATAAAATCATCATTCTTGAATTATAAAATCATCATTCTCAAATGATAAAACTATCATTCTTGAATGATAATGAATCATTCTAATTGAATGATAAATATCATTCAAAAATGATAAAACATCGTTCAAGAATGATAAATTATCATTCTAATTGAATAATAAAACATCATTCTTGAATGATAAAACTATCATTTTCGAACGATAAATCATCATTTTTGAATGATAAAACAATTATTCTTAAATGATAATGAATCATTTTAATTGAACGATAAAACATCATTCAAGAATGATAAAACCATTATTCAAATAATAATGAATCGTTCTAATTGAACAATAAAATATCATTCAAGAATGATAATGAATCGTTCTAATTGAATGATAAAATATCATTTTTGAACGATAAAACCATCATTCAAGAATGATAAAAACATCATTTTTGAATAATAAAATCATTATTCTCAAATGATAATGAATCATTCTAATTGAATGATAAAATTATTGTTTAAGAATAATAACGAATCGTTCTAATTAAATGATAAAATCATCATTCAAGAATGATAAAACTATCATTCTCGAATGATAATAAATCATTCTAATTGAATGATAAAACATCATTCTCGAATAATAATAAATCATTCTAATTGAACGATAAAACATCATTCAAGAATGATGATTGGTTAACCTGAATTTTGTCAGGTTGGATCAGGTCAGTTCGATCTGTTGACCTAATCTGACATTAATCTGAAAATCTATTGACCTGACCTGAATTTTTAGGTCAGGTTAAGTTAGGTAAACAGGTTAACCTGACCTGATTTGAAGCTTTACACGTGATTCTTCTCATGTTACTTTATGTATAGTATTTCAATTTTTTTTACCAATACCATTAAAATATATTAATAATAATAATAATAATAATAATTACAATAATAATAATTTATTTGGTAAATCAGAATTTACTAATAATTTATTAGAAAATTATGAAAATAGTTTTAATAAACTTTTGCAAACATATTTAGATAGTTGGAATATAAATGATTTACATGATGAAATTACAAAAAATATAGAAATAGGATGTAAAATTCCATCACTAAATGTAGTTATTCTTGAACTAGACAAAAATTCAAATTGTGATATTAATATTCATAATACATGTGAAATGTATTTTGATAATGTAAAAATATTAAATAGTAATAATTTAAATATTAGTTGTGATAAAGTAATATTTAGATGATTAATTTTATATCACAAAAAGATAATATAAGATTACTTTTAGGTCAATGGCATACATTAAAAGATATGTGTAATGCTTTAATTACATTTTTTTCAGAATATGGCATTTTTAATTTAGCAGCAAATTTAGGAGTTAAATATTTAGATAAGTTAGAAAAAGTAGTTAATTATTCAGCTACTTATTGTGTTTTAGAATTAATTTGAGTAATAATTAGTATATCAATAAATAAATATTTAAAATATAGAAATAAAACTATAAAAGATATTAAAAGTGAAAATAATAATATATTGAAAGTATGGTATTATTATTTTTGTTGGGCTGAATATTAGTTTGACATAAAATAGGAATTAGAAGAGGAAATTATGATATGCAATTTAAAAATTTAGTAGCATTTGTACCACTTTTCACAGTTGCTGGAAAAAGTAATTATGCAATATCAGTAACACATTTTTTGTCATATATTAATAATAATTTATCTTTACAAAAGCTTCTTCAATATATTTATGCAGTTAATCTTACTCATCTTGAATATTATTTTGCATTTGATAAAGCATTAGAACGATTTAGAGTAAAATTTGTAAAATAAAACATTAGCGGAAATCATATGGATAGTGAGAATTTAAAATTACAAATATAATCTATACAAGCTGAAAGAGACTGCTGTTAGTGATAATCCATTTGCGTCACTAGATGACTGCGCTAACTAATGTCACCAATGATTACTAAGAAAATCGTGATCATCATTTTCACTAATTTCATTGTTATCACAGTTATCGTTGTAATAATTATTTTCTTTATTATTATGTTTATCATTATTTTATTTAATATATTTATTTTCATAGCCATATTTACTTTCACTATTATATTTATTATCTCTATCTTATAATTGTATTTTATATAAATATCCTGTATTGTCGCTTTGACAAACTAACAAGTATCTATCGTACAATTAATAAAGTATAATCTTAACAACCTAAAAACTATATCTTTGCCAATATCTATTTCCTTGAAATATAAATCATCAATAAAGACGACCTGACCTTTCAACTTAAATAAATTCGTGTTTATTTCTTTCATAGTTTACGACTTAAACTCCCTGTTAGCAAATAAGCTTTGTTATCCTAACGACGTAATGTTTAGACTTAACAATATATAAAAATTTACAAGATGAAAATATAGGTAGATTTTTATCATGGATTACGAGAGAAACCCTAGAATTTGTTTCTATTCCTAATTCTACTTTGCCACCAAAGCCAAAGAAAATGGTTGAAGTTGATTCTGATAAAGAACTTGCTGAGCTCACAAAAAAGCAGTTAAAGTTACATGTAGCTAAAGCAATTAAAAAAGCTGTGAAGACACAACAGCAGTATTCTATCTGTAATTGAACTGCACATAATTCTCGCAAATACACTTGAAAAAAGAAAAAGAAGAACAAGTTTAAGAAAGCTAAAGTTAATCTCGTTATTATAGATTCAGATTCTGATTTAGATTCAGATTTTAACACCTCATTCAGTAATACATCGTCTAGTGATGATTCTAATTCTGATATAAATTCTTCTGATTATAGAGGTGATATTACTATTAATATTGCCAAATCAAAAAAAAGTAAAATGTAGCGGAAAAAAAGACTCTTTTAGTAATAAAGTTCTAAGACTGCGAAAGTCACGCAAGACAAAACTGAGGCTAGAAGCACTAAACCTTGATTAGAAAAATAGTAATACTAATTCTTTTTTATCTAAAGCTAGTCAGGAAATTATTCGTAAAATAGTTTGAAGTGAGCTTAGTTTTACCCTTCGAGAAGAACTTAAAAAGATCCTCCTCTGTATATGATTCAAGTCTTTCTGCTAGATACTAAGAAGTCAGATCAGGGAAAAAACATCAAATCTAAAGCCAATAATTTTTCATCTTTTCAAGAATCAGCTCCTGCAATACCTGACTCAGATGAAGAGAAACTTTGGATGATCTGATGGAAATTGATTTCATCTAGAGAAGGGAGCTGAAAACAAGTATTATGACAGTAAAGTGTAAAATCAAACGTTTAAAGATTCTAACTATGACAGTTGACTCTGAAGCTGAGCCTTCTATCATAACAGAAAATATCGTTAAACGTGTAAGGGCTAAAATTGATAAATCTGAAACACATGATCTCAGCGGTATTGCTACTGTTCTGGTTGAATCTGTTAGAGTTATCCGTAAATTACCTATTACTTTAGCTCCTGGCTATACTATTCATAAAGATTTTATTATTATGAAATACCACAAGCTGACGCTAATATTTTTCAACCAACTTTTAAAGAAATACAATTGCACAATAGATTGAAAAACCAATGAGCTAAAGATCTCTCTTAATGGGAAAGACTATATTATTCCAGTTACCATACATAAGGTTAAGAATAAGCTCAAGGTGAACTATGCAAATATTACTCTTGAATGTGATGATCTGCCAGCTTCAAACAAGATTTCTCAGGACCTGCAAGACTTAAGTGAAGATAGCACATTAAAAAAACATAAGTTATGAAAAGCTCAAAAAAATGTTATACGATTCTCTCAAATCTAAAGCAGAACTCAATAATATATGAAAAAGATTGCAGATTCGTTATAATGAGCTATTAGATAATAGCCAATAAGTGAGCTACCTCTACTTTACTTTTTTTATTTTCTTTAATACCCTTCTCATAAAATGCTCTTAATTCTTTTCCATGTAATCCTTTACCCTGAACAACTTCAGCTGAGTTTTCTGGGGTTGACTTAGTCTGAATGGATTCTAAGAGGGCAACATTAGGCGATTCAGTGATATGAACAGACTTGACTTTTAAATTCCTTTCCCCAGTCTTTTTTACCTTATTTTCAGGAATAATGGTACTCGAGAACTTGTAAAGGTCTGTCTTTTCTCCATAGGATGAATCAGCATTTGTTGATACCATCTTTTTAGAATCTGAAGATGGGTTTATTGATGGATATGATACGATTTCTTTAGGATCTATTGGGGGATGAACTTCTCTCCATATTTAGTATACCCATTGAAATGATATTTTATATTTGTTTGCTATAACTTCTGATGCTCGCTTCATTGAATTTTTAGCACTAATAATGTTCTGAATATTTTTTTCTGATAAGTGGGTTGCATCTGAGTGTTAGTAGCAATTCATTTTTTCTTATAGTCAGAAAAAATCTGTCGATAAATATTCGATATACATTCGATATGTATATTCAGTACACATTTGATATACATTCGATACATCTGATATATATCCAGTATGTTTAGTACATTCGATGTATTTAGTATATTCAGAACATTTGGTATATTCAGTATATTTAAAATATATATAGTATACATCTGATATATATGATGCATTCGGTATATCTGGTATATTCAATAGATTTGATATATATTCAGTTTAGAAATTTCAGTCATTTTTTTTCTATTATAGTAGTAGACAAGTTGAAAAAAAGGCCATGAATATTATACATACCTTGAAAGATGTCAATAAAAAAAGTAATACCCAACTGTAACTGGGTGTTGGCTTGGTACTATATATGAGCAAGAGCTCGAAAAGAAATTATATTCTGCTTTCAGCTTCTAAGGCTGAACTTAGGGATCTTAATGGAAAGTTAATAGGTAAGTATAATGAGTAAACAAAAGAGTATCAGCGAAGTTATAGTGATATTAGAAATAAGATTAGCCAGTTAAATACATCTAGTGCTAAAGTTAGATCCTAACTTATTTTTAAACGGAAGTCTCATTCTGAAAGTTGATGTGAGCTTGAAGCCAAATATACTACTGAAATCTAATCGCTCAAATCAAAGATTAAAGCATTAAAGAGAGAGGAAACTTTGGCTCAAAAAGTTTCATCTACTGACAAGGTCCAGATTCTTTCTCTTAAACTAAAATATGTGAATTGGAAGGCAAGTTGAAAGACATAGATCTAAAGCGTACATATTATGATTTGGATGTAATGAGAGGGGTAATAGAAGGACCAGCCCAAATAAGCTTATCTAATCCCAATGTGATTGATTCTCTCAGGTTTAAATTAAATCGAGTGAAAAAAAACCTTAATTCAAAAAATTATGAAATAGAATGTATGAAAAAAGGGAAAGAGTTATCAAATAGCATATACAAACGGGAAATAGATATTCTGTCTTCAGGACGATTAAAGTTAATAGATGAAAATAGGTCTCTCAAGGACCAGTTAGTGTTAAAGACAAATACTTCATCCTAAATAATTTCTGAAACAGCCCATCCTGGAAAATTTATTTTGAGTGAAAGGATTCCTTTAGAATCAGAAGCAATACTATTGATCCTAAAAATACCTCTTATACCAGTGACTGCTCCTATCATTACAAGTTTTCTAATGATGCTAATGGTAATGTATTCTATACTTGCAATCATATGATTTATAGCCAGGAAATAGTAAAATTCGTGAAAAAAAAGTAACTAATATTCTACCTACGAAAATTATATAAATAAGGATTATGCAAAACGTCTCTTAATCAAACCAGATTATTATTATTTTCAATTTTAATCGACTACTGTATAAATACTGGCATAAGTGAAACTTCTTCAAATCTTTTTTCAATACAGGCTAATATCATTTTTGGTAAATCTTTAGGCAGGTTTATTAAGATTTTTTCTGCTTGAAATATCGTAAACGCTAATTACTAGCCAATATGAATTCAATCGCCTCCCTTACCATTATGCCTATGTTGTAGTAAAAATCGATAGTCATCTATTATAATATTTCTCATCTCCTCCTATTCTGATATTATTTTACAAAATATCTGCCTATATCCTTTCATGATTAGGAGATAGATTTCATTGGATTTGAAGTCTATATATTAGGAAACTTTTTCCTATAGTTCAGCCATTATATCAATAAAGCTTATCTTTAAAATATGCAGATTTTTTCAGCTAGATCGTGTTTTAAGAATACAGTTTTGCCAAATTATTATATGTGAAAAATACTAATAATCATCTCTGAGTATATCTAAAGTCAGGCTATATGATCGAAGGCCAAAAGTTCAAAGATAGAAATTGAAGTAAACCAGTATTATTACATGAGAAAAAATATATAAATAATATTATGCAAAGTGCCTTAATAGCTAAGTATTCTTAGTTGAAATTATCACATCCCGCTAAGAGTACTTATCTATATAATCTATTTAAGTGCTTTGCTTTAGCGCCTCTGGCTTAGTTACATTCTCAAGATGAAAATACTATAAATTACTAATGTCATCTAGTGCCTCAATTTCTAATATGTGAGGTAAGGCGAATAGGTTAGCAATTATCTCATTTTTTCACATGGATAAAACTGGTTTGATTTTTTCTGGAATTGATATATACTCTTTGTAACGAATATGATAGACTAATTTGTGAAAGAATAAATTATAATCTTCAATATATTTTATAAGCTTGCTAGGATATCAAACAAAATTAAAACATATTTTTTCCTTCATTTCATCATCTACTGAAAGGTTTTGATCTTTTGTAATTTTTATAGCTCATTTCATGAATCTTCCCTATAATATCTTGATAGGATTACTTTTCATGAAAATCTCATAATTAAGCCATTCACCATGGAATATTTTGTATAAACTGCCTATCTTTTGATATAACATTTCTTGTACTTTTTAATTGTATTTCTATAAGTACACTTATAAATAATCCCATAAAATCCCATCATCTTGGAAGTAATATCATTAACTATGATATTCTCCTTCACGAAACCCTCAAGCTATAATTTGGCCTTCTTTTATGTATAATCATCTATTTGTTTATATTTCTCATCCAGATCCTTGATTTACATTATCTTATCTGAGAGAGCTGGTACGTACTTCTTATTATATATGATTAAAGCTCTGAACAGTTTGGAATAATCTGAAAATTTTCAGTTTGGATCAACTTCAGTTCAGTTTCAGATTGCAAAAATTTCAATCTGAAAATTTTCGGTTCAGTTCAGATTTTTTTCGGATTATAAATCTAA